GTGTCTGACCACCCTCACAGCAAAGAATTTAATCCTCATATCTCATCTAAATCTCCCCTCCTCCAGTTTATAGCTGTTACCCCTTGTTCTGTCACTGCATGCTGTGTAATTGGCACCATGTCAATGAGTTATCTCCCAACACGATCAGCCTAATAAGCAGTAGTTTTCCTAACAAGAAATAAAGATTTTAAGTGAAGAACATTAATCAGTACCACAGTAAACATTTTAAAAGGCCAAATGATGTTAATTGCCCAGTAGTGTTAATAGTCCCTTTTGCGATTCAGATCCAATCCAGATGTGTTTGAATCTCGTCTGGAGAAAAGAAGTGAAGTGAAAAAGCAACCAGTGGGATATTCCAAGCAAGGAGAATTTGTCAGATGCATGGAGGAAAAGGCAAGGACATTTTTCTTTGTAATTCATGTGTATTAAAGCTATAATGTCATTTATATAGGATTGGTATAATGCTACAAACATGCACTGTTCCTGTTAGTAAGGAGCCCTGGAATTCCACTCTTTAGTGGTTAAAAGTATTGTTCTGTATTTCAGTGTATTATTTTGCTCTTTTTTAGACTGCAGATTTTGTGCTTGAGGCCTTATGTGTTAATTAGTTCCAGATTAGTTTGGCCAGGTGGAGTGACATGATCTTGTATTTATAATTTTTCAGTGAATTGAATAAAATTGTTTGATACTATTGGATCAAAATGCATAATAGCTTGCTTTTAACTAATTCTTTCTGGCTTTGAAATTCATAATTCACATTGTTACTCATCTTCTTATTTACTTTCATAATCAATCATTTATTTTATTAAAAATCCACTGCAGCAATCTTGAAGAATCTTAAACTTGAGCTCCTACTCAGGAGATTTGTCAGCAGGCATGTAATGCATGGCAGGAAAGGCAAATAAATGGAATTAAAGCATCAGCTATAAAAACTGAAGGAGAATGCTTTCTTCTAGGTAGAAGGCTTGGGCACAAAGTCATCAAAGGGAGGATTCACAAAGGATAAGGTAAGGGAAGCGAACCTAAGTGCTGGGAGAGACATGCTGGCACATCAAGGATGTACATTAACTTGTATTGCTACCATCAGTACTTCACCCAAGAGCTTCTTGATGTAAAACTCGTGCCTTATGCTGCACTTGAGTATAAGATTTTAATTTACTGTTGGGATTGTGCTCAATCTTAAAACTCCTGGCACTTTGAGTTTTTATTATCCTGTCCTGTGACACCCTGGAAGTTCCTGTTAGTCAGGGATCTGTACTGAATGCTTGCAGTAATAAACGGAAAGGGTTCAGCTGCCTTTACAGAATGTAAATACAAGTTCTGCCAGCAGAGGGACAAGAGAATGGTTTTATTCTTTCACATTCTTGTATTTTGGCAAACTTTCTGTGTAAATCTGCCAACAGAGCATGTGTCAGAGATGGCTGAAGGTGGAAGGTTGCAGCTCCTCTTGCAGCTTCAGTAGAGATCTGTGCAACTGGAGCAAAGTGTGTTCTGTGTCCTGACAGAATCTCTTCCATTCTGCCTCAGTGTGTGAATCCACTTCTCAGTGTGCTACTGCTTATGATTTACTAGTTTCTTTGGCAGTTAAGAGGACGAAGTCACACTGTAAATTGAATTAAGTTCCTCTAGCTTGATTTTGTTGTCTGTAATTGCATCCATTCATTCTGGATTCTCACTTGAATCAGAGGACTGTCGTCATGCCAGATTTCTTATGCTTTCTCTTGCAGACGCTTGATTCAATCCTTAATGTTGAGATGGTGAAAGAAAAATCAGCGGAGGAGATAAAACAGGTGATGGAATGAGTTTATGGAATAAAGTTTGCTTCATATCTGTGCTTAATAGTATCTATGTGTGAGGATGGAAATTTTACTTACACTGGAAAATGAAACATGGCTGTGGATGTATATTTATAAAAAGCACATTCACATGCATATCAGTAGTAGAAAATAAAGTTTTCTCTGTACAGGTAAGCCCACCTAGGATGTACCCACTTGACAAATAATACATCTGGACTTGATCACTCAAAAACTGTCTCTGCTGTAATTCTTATTGTTGCCATTTAGTGTGTAGCAGTTGAATTGGCATTACCAAGCTCCTGTCAGGTTTGAAGCCAGGTAAAGGGAAATCCTAGCACTAGCTCATATGGATTATGGTACATCTGTTTTGGAGGAGTAAAAACAAAGCTTTTGCCACCTTGTACCTTTGTTTGCCTTATCTGTCATTCAGGAGCCTGTGTACTCATACTGAAGTTGGTTAGGGTGAGTGGATCTGTTTGAAGAACAGTATGAATCGAGTTATTCTCTCTAATCTCTGCTTGGCTTTGCACTCTATTCCCTTTTATCTAGTTATAAGTCACACCTGTTGCACATTTCTGATGTATGAGCTGGATCTGATTTTTTTTTTTCTTATCAGACTGTGCTGAGAAACTATGTGGGCATGATCATTTAAGGGAAGCAGCACATACAAGGGTCATGGCATCTGGCATGACTTAGAGAGCAGAACCCTAGCTGCTTTCCTGATAGCTTGAGAACATTACAGAACTGCCTGTGTACTCTGCAGGGGATGGTGTGTAACCAGTTATAGCAGGGAGTGGATTTGATAACTCATGAGTTTCCTTTGAGTTCCTCTCTTTCTGTTTCATTGACTGACAAGTCTCATTAGTTATGTAGGACTCAGGAAGAGCAGCTGAAAAAGTCCTGAACTCTGGGCTTTTACCTGCACTTGTCCATTTATTAAGGACTTTGAGCTTTTGTATAGGTATTGCCATCCCACTGTGGTGAAGAACAAGACTGAACACAGAGGAGCATTATGCAAAATCTTGTCTTCTGTTGAAAATGTTTTGTATGTTCTTTATTAAAAAAAAACAACAACAAAACCAAACCTCAGACTCTCTAGAAATCATTAGCTAGATCGCGGGGAAAAATGTAAGAAGCACTTTGATGGCTGGTAAATCCTGAACTGTCTCTGAGCTCAGTGCTTATTTCCATTACCTAGTTGAAGTCTGTCATTTTGTACAAGTACTCTGGAACCTCAGAAGTGTATTGCATTAGCAGGACAGTCGGTCAGGCTTGATTGAAAAATGACTTCTCAGAGTGCTTACAAAGGTTAGTTGACAAATGGAATTTTTCTAAAAGCATTTAATATTACTGCTGGGTGCTTGATTTTTAACTGTATCTCTTCTCCTTTGTTTCCTACAGATTTGGAATCAGTATTTTTCTGCCAAAGATACGGTTTATGCTGTTATTCCTGTAAGTAGTTCCCCTGTAGTTATGCACTTGTTTTTAAAAGCAGTCATTGAAGGAAAATGAGGTTTCAAGAACAAATTTTCTTTCCAGATTGAGTGATCTTATTGCCCCAAATAAAGGCTTTTTTTCCAAAAGCCCTTTTTTTTCCTCACCTACATCAGTATCAATAAAGCTAGTACCTTTTTTTTCTGCACACCTGGCTTGAATTTCGAGGCATTTTTTATTCTAAGTATCCAATACTCTTCCCAGGGCCCTAGTATGTATTAAGGTAGCATTTGTATTTTCACATAATTTTTTTTCTAAAAGTTGCTCGTTTCTTTCTCTTCCCTGCAGCACGGACAGCAAACTCTAGTTTAAGACGGCAGTACTGGAGCACTTGGCTAATAACTTGCACGTGGCTAATCACTTATGACTTTCATACATTTAAAATTATTGGCAGCACTGTCTTTCATTGCAATTGCATGCTGCTTCCTGTGATAAGGTCATATTTCTCACTCCTGATAACTTTACCAGATGTCAATTGTTGTTAATCTGCATTAGGCTGAAGGAGTTTTTTTTTCTTTCAGGATTTCTTTTTATTTTTGCTTCAGAGTCTGTATGTGATCTTGATCTCTTAAATCTGTCTTTTCACAGCTGGGCACAGACTCTGTGTTTCTTGAAACCTCATTTAGATCTGGGGTCTGATTTGCAGTTGTACTTGGCCCTTTGAGTTGCAACAAGCTCACCTTGGTGGGAGGTTGTATTCTGAACCTCTGAAGTGCTGTATGTTCTGAAAGTGGCAACGTGGGATTTGAAGTCAAGCAGCTTCGTGTTTCAGTTTTCCCAACATGTGGATGTTGTGAAAATAGTTTGAATTGCACATTTACTGTAACAGAGGGCCAAAGCCAGGGACTCCAGTTAAGATGTTGTAGGTCTTTCATTAGTGAGGCTGGCACTGTTCTTTGCACTGCTTTAGAGGACCTTTGAAAGCTTTTAAGGGTTTAATGCAAACCAGATCCTAAGCACATTAGGAAGTAGTTCGTGGTGTCATTGGGGGAAAAAAAAACCCCTGTATCTTTTGCCAGAAGCCTTTTCTTGGCTGGAAGAAAGGCCTCAAGTAATTCTCGAGTGCTCAAAAGCACACACAGAGGAATTTTGTGTTGATGAATGGCATGCATTTTCTTTCCTGAACACCTTAGAGTAGGTATTAATATAAGGTGCTGGGAAAAGAAGAGAAGGCAAAAGACTTGAGGGAACACAGGGTACACATGGATGAGATTGCCAGGTTTCATCAAGAATGACCAAGTATATTTGTGGTTTGAATCTAAACCTAAGCAATAAGTATGTTATTTGAGTAACTAGGGGCTGCATTTTAATACCGAAGAACAGATGACTATGATGTAAAATCTACAATTTGGGGCCAGGGATATGTCGTTCTGCTCAGCTGTTGACACCACATGATGCAGTGGAGCTATTACTGAAAGAGGATGTAATGTAAGCCTAAAGCATAGCCCCCCACCTCCGAGGAATAAAGCTTTGGATCCAAGGAGTTTGCTGCTGCATCTCAGAGGCAGCATTGTTAAAACAAGGTACCAATGACATTTAGGTAACTAAGAACTAAATACAATTTTCCACACACTCATTGTGAGCTGTTCCCACAGTGAGACCTTCTGTTAATGGAAGCTGTGCCCTGTAAAGGTTAATGAGGTTATTTTGAATAATTATGCATCCACGTTTGTGTTATAAAAATTGAATTTCTCTTTCTCCTTCCCCAAAGGCAGAGAAGTTTGATTTAATATGGAAGAGAGCCCAGAAATGTCCATCGGTATGTATGGCAGAGACTCGCAATGCGTGGATGTGTAGCTGTAATGCACTTCTCTCTAAAGCCCAATGCATAAACTTTTGACCTTTCTGTATTCATACTCATTGCATCAGCTCGATCAGTAAAATCCAGGTGTTCAAATATTAGTGTTCAGGTAAAAGCAGTGGCTGTACATGTGTGTTAAACAGTGTGACCTCGGTTATCAGGTATCTAGATGTAAGAGATGTAGGGTACAGAAATGAGAGCACAGAATCTCCCAGGGAATGGATTCTAGCTGCATGTCTCCAGTTTCCATTAATTGATGTCTTGTGGTTAAATCTCTTCTGTGCAGTTTTGTGGCAAGCTGAGCCTCATCAGCCAGCTTCATTGATGTTCCTGAATATCTTTCCTTGCTGCTTAAAGCGTCCTTGCTTTAACCTGGAAGAACTGTTGTTATCTGTAGCTACGTGTCACCGTGGCATTACGTTGCATGAACATGGAGAAGGTTAATTCTCTTGTTGGTGTGAGTTACTTCTCTTTTTATTTATGTTTGTTTACTGGCAGTGAAGATAGGCGGGAGTATCTGAAAGGGAAAAAGGCAAGAAATCAATATGCTGGGGTTCTGTCCACCAAATGAGCTGAACTTTGTCATCTGTTAGCCTGCTTTTCCTGATGGTAAATGTGCGTGGCCATGCTTGCTTCACCACATTGGTGATGTGTGATAGCTAAATGTTGGTAAGCTAATATGAGCTATTTGCATGGAAGCCATTCTAGGCAGGCACCATGTTGTATAAATAATGCATCTCTGTCTCTAGGGGATTGTGAGTTGTCCAAAAAGACTGCAAAATTGAGTAGTGTAAGTTCTGTTGCAAAGCATTGTAATTCAACAGCTGTGATGGGAAGTAAGGGGGGAATTGGGTGTAGTCAAACCCTTGATTACAGCTGTGAGTTGTGTCTCAGGTGTATGCCAGCATGGCAAAGCATAAAATACTGAGAATACTTTATGTGGTTAATTCAGAGATGAGTGGATTCCCAAGTTTTGGGTTCACTGTTTCTCATGTGGGTTGGTGGGTATCTTTAAGCATCAATTAAAAGATTCCTATGTGAGTGAGCAGATTGTTGCTTTGAAGAAGTTAAACTGCAAAACAGCAGAACAGCTAACAAGACAAAGGATATATTTCTGCAATTTTGTACCACATGCTGCTGGATTAGTATTGTTTTCTTTTGCAAGTAATGTGTTTTTACAGTAATTTGTGCGCTGAAGTGTGACTTTGTGCAAATTTCAGTGTCCTGAGACAGAAATGAAATGCTTCACTCCTTTATGAAAACCAAGTAGCTAGACTTTGCTGTGATGAGAGGAATGCTTTTGTCGATCTGAATGGGTGACTTCACTGAATTGATGGATCGGTCCTGTATATTTCACTTGCCAAGAGCAAGACCAAATATATCTGGCTTCCTGAGCTACTCGGAGCTTGGAAGGTTATTTATAGCTTTAAGTGCATTTCTGTACAGTGCATTGGCATTTAGTCAGGTGTCCTGCTTGTTTTTCTGTTCCCATGTTGTCCTTTCCCTTGGTGTGGGCAGATGAGCAAGTCACTAGCCTGTGGAACCAAACAGATAGTAAATCTGTAAAAAGAAAATGCTTGCTGCCTGTTCTGGAGCAGTTGGTGAAATTACAGGATTAAAAACTCTGAATGCTTCTGATCTTATATTTGACCATTTTTGCTGTTAATTTTCTAGAAGTGTAAAAAAGAATATTCAGAGTCTGAATATTCTCCACCATCCTGTCCTTTGTCTCTCATGATACTGATAAAAATATGTGCCAACATGTTTACTTATGAAATAATACTAAGTTTAATGCTGGTTTATTGTCATTTTTGAAGTCTGGTTCCTGCTGTCCTATCACTCCTGGTGGGGCAAAGAAACTCTTCTTTCTGTTGTGGTTCACTTGCTAAAGAGTTTATGCTGGAGGCCAGTATGGCACAGGCAGCATTTTGTTTTTTGGAAGGGAGAATTAATTTTTATCACTCTCTGCAGTTTCTGTATGCTTTGCCAAGAAAAGAAGGCTATGAGTTCTTTGTGGGGCAGTGGTCAGGAACAGAATTGCACTTCACTTCGCTAATAAACATTCAGGTGAGTGGTTGGAATAAAAAGTCCAAAAATGGATCCAGAAATATGTAATAGCAGCATATTAGAATAAATATTTTCTGAATAGCTTAATGAATAGGTTGTCTAACTTAATTTGGAAAGAATTATCGGGGAAAAATGCTGTTAATTATGGGTAAATTAGTAAATGAATTATGGGTAAATTAGTAAATTTATGGGTATTAACTGTCTCTCAAGTCTAAAGGAGAACGACGTAGAAGTGAAATAGTCTCAAAGTAGAAGCAAGAGCCAAACATCTTGGAACTGTTTGTGCAAGATACTTCAAATATCAGTAGATGCTATAAGATGAAATGTCTTTCTGGAAATCGTGGGTTCTTTTACATGCAAAATGGTCTTAATAAAGAAAAAAAAAACAACAAACAAACGAACTCTGCAAATCCCTTGTTTTCTGTAAATACCAGGAATAATGAACTCCTAATGAGAACTGACCCTTAAACCCTGAAAAACGACTGCCTTGATAGCAGTTAATGCTCAAAGGTTTGTAATCAAGCCTCCTAATCTGCAGTAGAGCTGAAGTTCTGTATGTAATAGGTTTCTTTTACCTGCTTCAGACTCAAGGTGAAACTGCTCCTAGCCAGCTGGTCTTGTACCATTACCCTGAGCTGCAGAAGGAAAAAGGGATAGTACTAATGACAGCAGAAATGGACTCCAAGTTCTTGGTAAGTGAAATCTTCTCATTGACTTCCTTCATTTTGTGCTGCAATTCCTCCTACAGTTTTGAATTAAAACCAAATTATAGTGAAGTCTTTAAAGACCCTTTCCCAAAGAGTGATCTTACTAGATTTCTTTAACCTAATCCACTTAATACTAGGGAAAGCTGGAAGGAAATTATCAGTCTTCGTCTGTCTGGTGATTTCAGCTCATACATTCTTCCCCCCCCCCTTTGAGTATTAGTTTATTTTTATTAAAAAAAGTAGAAATGCTTCTGTTTTTCTTATTAATGGAAGAAGATGTAAATGAAAGTTGTTGCTACTTGCCAACAAGTTAAAACTGTTTTGAAGCTTAATACTACTTGTCAAATCAGGAGACCTACAGAGCTTTGTGTTAGGTTTCTGTGTGTCTTGGTTGTTTTCTCTGTGTGTGGCTGAACTGTTACTTGCATGTCTGTAACAGTGCAGTGCTAAGACTAATAGCATGAGGGATTATACTGGTGGAACAAGATAACTAAAGCATCCCACCTCTAACTGACCTACTTAGACCAGTTCTGAAACAATGTACAGAGGAATCCTTGGTAATGAAGTTGTCCTGTTGCATCTCAGAGTAAACAGTCAATTTTTGCAAACAGGTCAACCGTAAGAAGGGAAAGATGAGACTTTGGTGCATCTCCCGTGCCTTAGAGTGGGCAGGTTTCATGAAAGACATCTTTGACCTCTGAGGCATACGCTCAGCAGGAGAGTAGTTTAAAGGCACAGTGCTGGTGTGTAAGTAGGTCGGGAACAAGAGGTGGTTTGTTAAGAGATTTGATAAACTAAGGTGTCTTGAAATTGAGTCTTGTGATGAGTAGTTCTGCAGCCTTTCAGCTGCTGAAGAGTTTTTTCCAGCGGGATACTCAAATACAACAAAACCTGATGGTAACACGTTCTCTGTTTTAACTCGCAGGTGGTCCATGAAGCGCAGTGCTTGGCGAATCAGGTCCAGCTTTTCTATGCAACTGATCGTTCCCAGACCTATGAATTAGTGGAGACCTTCAACCACAGATCTAATGAATTTAAATATATGTCAGTTATAGCAGAGCTTGAGCAAAGTGGACTTGGAAGGGAACTGAGACCTGGTCAGGTTTCTGACAAGTCGTAGAGCCTGACCTGCAGCTGAAGCCAGCCAGCAGCAGGCAGGGGGCTTCCTGGATGGGGTGGTCCTGTCTCTGTTGTTTTACAGATTTGGTTTGGCTACAGAAAGGATCTAGAATGTGATAGAGAAACCTGTCTGGCAATGATGCAAGATGAAGGCTTGGGCCATTTGAACAACAATAAATAACTAATTGCCAAAATGGAGCCCTGCAGTGTAACTTCATCAGAATGAGCCATTTTCCCATCCTGCTGCATACTGTATTTTTTGAAATCTTAAATAAAGTGACAGAAGGGCAGCTACATAATGGACTATATTGACATCAGGAGACAGATAACGACCAATGTTTCTTCTCAGTAAATACATTTAAAATGCCCTCTGCCATTATAATTGCATGATCCACTGCTTTTTAATCTGTGTGCAATTTTTACAGGCTTGTCCATGAAGAAAAGAGAAAAGGACCGATGGTCTAAACCAGACTCTTCTTTGTTACTTTGTGTGTGAGGTTCTTTACACGGATGTATACTGTGGCCTTTGTTTTTCTCAGGATTAAAAAATGCAGTGACTAGATTTGTTCTGGGAATTTTGTGCTTCTGAATTGATATATTAATTTTATCCTGTTGCTGTGTTTCTGTTTTAGAGATGTTTTTATTGAGGAGTAGGATATTATAAACATGGTTTTATTTTTAAGTATAGAGCAGTTACTGCATGCTTTATAGAATTACTTTTTCTCAAACTGACAGCTTGTCAGGTAACTCTATGGATGGTATTTGGAGGGACAGTAAATAGCTCTGATCCCATTTCAGGAAAGCCACTGTCTCCACAAAAGACAAGATGGAACTGCACAGTAGCAGAGCTAGAGCCACCACCTGGTTTCTGATTTGCTGAGTGACAACACATGAAAAAAATGCATTGATGAGAATATGCACAGCAGCTTTAACATGGCAGTGTTGGTAAGAATCTGGCTTGTAAGGACTACAGCTGGTTTCAGTTTTTAAACCTGCCTTTAACAAAAGAATCCCAAAACATTTGTGCTTTGAGCTTCTCTTGTTTTCATTCCCAGCAGAGGCAGCCAGTGTGTCTGTGGACAAGGGCAATCTGCAGCAGTGCTGAGTGATGTGCAGCCTGCGCGTGGATTATCAGCATTCTACCCCTGCACAGGTAGACAGGTCAACAGAGGTCAGCCAGGAGCTTCCCAGGAGCAACACTGAAATATTTCCCATATCCCCATCAAATCCCTGGCACTAACTCACCCTTAGCACTAATCATCAGTTATGTCCAGACAGTGTTGCATCTGCCCATCAGCCTGCTGATGCTGGAAAGCATTCCTTCCTTTGCCAAAGAAATGCAGGCGAGAAGGACAAGGGACTTGTCTGTCAGAGGAAGACCAATTTTTTTTAGGCAGGGCTGGTAACAGATGTTCTGTGCTATCCTTAACTGTGGCCTGATCTGGAGGTTTGATTAGTTATAAAGGGCTCTTAAACAATCTGTTTGCTAGTGTAATGGCAGGAGCCTGCTGCTGTAACACTCACTGTCACTCCGTACTTTCTCAGCCTGTTCTTTGGACAGGAACATTGTTCAGCTGAGCACTAAAGATAGATGGTAAGGTTTTATTGTTCGGGGCTGTTTTAGCAGCAGATCATACACGTTGGGTGTGAACTCCTGTCCATTCAGGGAATTGCAAGATCTTTCTAGAAGAGGCACATCTTCTGGGGCTCTGCTGCAAGAAGATGGTCTTGCTCCTTGATAATATCTTCTTTTTGTTTCTGATTGTGTTGGTTTTGTAAGTGCATGCATAGCAGCCTTCATAGCAGGGGAATAATCAGAGGAAGTGGGGATAGGACTGTCATAAGCTGAGCAGCAAATCACCTTTATTAAAGATCCTTTCTACTATTTTAGAGCATTTGTGCTCAATTTATCATTTTCCTTTAGCTTAAATAAGGGCAGTTTTGATTCATTATTCACTTCCTGCTTTGAAGAAGTCAAAGTTGCTATATTCATTTTTAATAATGGGCAACCGGAGTGAAATTCAAGTCTTCCAAATCTACACCTGAGCCTCTTTCTGAGCTTAAAAGATTAAAGTCTCTAGTAAAGGCTGTCGCAGTCATTACCTGTAATTTTGAGTGATTTTTTTTCAAGCTGTCATGTAATTAATCAAAAGCTAAGTACTCTTCCAGGGGTTTAAGATAGACAGAAATAGCAAAATCAAGAAAAGGAAACATTTATTGCATTGCATTCAAGTTGTTTTTAAATAAGACCCTGACTAAAAAGGCCAAGTTGATGACACCTGCAGCCATTTTGCAAGAGACTGTATGTTCTGGCCCTGGCAGAGGTGGAATTGTCTGATGGACAGAACATCTCAGAAGCCTTTTTCTGCAGGTGTATTCATGTGCCTTGAAGCACACACCATAATGTGTTAACCCTGGTGTCAGTGTGAGACCACTTGGCACAGAGACGACTGACTTGGTGTCAGTGATCTGGTGCTGATTGCATCTCCCCGAGAAGCAGAGAGCTGGCTAGACTTGTGTGTGCAATAGCAGGGAGACCTTTGAGGGCTTTCAAATTTGAGGGCTGAAAGTTGCACACCTCCTGGGAGGTATTCCCAGATCGGCTGCTGAGGATGGGGTTTGCTGCAGCCCCGGAAAATGTTACTGCTGTGTTTTCTCCAGGAAGCCAGTCCGATGGGCTGCACCACTGAAATGCTGTTGTGAGCCGGGAAGCTTCAGACAGCTATCTCCTGCTGTATTCCTGTATGATCTCCTGTATTCCTGCAGGTTATAACAGCAGAAGGTCTGGTAGTCTGAGATGCTGCACCATCAAACCAGAGCATGTTGGTCATGGACAACAGAGTTGTTTCAATATTCCGTGACCTGGCTGTAGGATGCAGGTTTGACATGGTGTGAATAAGCTCCCAAATTTGTAAACGGAAAAGTGGAAACTCTTAGTCCTTTGGGAAGTGTATGTGTGTGCTCATGCTACGGTTAGGACTTGAGCAGCACAGTCAGATCTGTGCAGACTGCTGCTGGGGTGGAGATGAGGCTGAAACTGGGACAAAAACCCACAATAACAAAGTCCAAGAGACACTAGGCCTGATCATCGGTCCCACTAAATGCTTGCTGTAAGGGGGAGTAACTCAGCGGCAGAACTGGCCCCACAAACCATCCTTGCTGCAGAAAGAGGCCAGTGGTCTTTCGTGGCTGTGTGGCTTCTCCAGTGCCCGGGATGCCCGTGTGCGTGAACCGCATCGCCAGCTGCCTGGTGTAGCCTCGGCGTGTTTGTGAGGCATTTGCTGAACTTGGGATCTGTGTCCAGCCTCAGAGCTGGTGAAAACACCACTCTTAGTCTTGGTGTGAGGAGGGAAGGTAACAGCGAGATTTATGTGCCCTGCAGCCACTAGAGGGAAGGTTTGTCCCCTTATTCTGAGCAGCTTGCATGAGTCTGTCTGCTCAGCTTTGTGAGCTCGGGGTGAGCTTTATGCTAAAAAACATTTAGGTTCCCAGGCTGCTCCTATACGGTCGATAATGTGGTGGGCTGCACTGAGTTAGACCAACGGTTCCCCAGCCCGGTGTCCTAGATCATAGATGAGCTGCCTTGGGGAGGGCAAACATCCTGCAATAGTTTTCCAGCTCACTTTGTTCATTTCCAGCCATTTGTGGGCCAGGGTCTTCACAGCTGAACCAGGGTCTGCAGCAGCAACGTTCTTCCCTCCGTGGTGCCTCCCATCTGTCTTCAGCTGGAGGACAGCACAGGGCCAAGGGAAGTGGCAGCAGTTCCTGTGAGGAGCAGC